TTTTCCACTAATAAGCTCCTTTTTTAAAATTCTCTCTGTAATATATAAGTGTTTTTGTAGCTGTAGTAGTCTGTCAGCTCTTAAACATCTGCAATGTTTCTGTGAAGTATTTGCAAGCTTACGCCACACTTAAAACGTTTTCATTTGTATTCCCTCAAGTCCACTTATTCTGCCATCTGACTCGATGCACCCAATTGTGATTGGCCAACAATATTACATAGGAAAAACACCTCAGCCATGACGCTGTCTCACCATTCTAGCATTCAGCCTCCATCCATTAATGGTGTGATTTGTCATTTAGTTATTTCAGCTCGTCACTGTGGTATTTCTGGAGAACAACCAGGCCATTTCTCCAGCCGTCATGGAAGTGACATTTAGTCCCGTCATACAGTAATAACAATCCAGTGTGTTTGTTTCGGAACTATCTGTGGTATGTGCTCTGCCTCAGTAGAGGATTTTCCTGACACTCAGTTTACTCTATTGGCTAATGACACTTTTAGACCCACAATTACACTATGCTGGATATATTTGACTGCCTGAGCCTTCATTATCGATTCATACCTTTTTCCTACTAGCATCAAATATGATTCTTTACATGATCAGCATCAATATGATTCATTACATGATCAGCATCAAATATGATTCTTTACATGATCAGCATCAAATATGATTCTTTACATGACCAGCATCAAATATGATTCTTTATATGATCAGCATCAAATATGATTCTTTATATGATCAGCATCAAATATGATTCTTTATATGATCAGCATCAAATATGATTCTTTATATGATCAGCATCAAATATGATTCTTTACATGATCAGCATCAAATATGATTCTTTATATGATCAGCATCAAATATGATTCTTTATATTAGCAGCATCAAATATGATTCTTTATATGATCAGCATCAAATATGATTCTTTATATGATCAGCATCAAATATGATTCTTTATATTAGCAGCATCAAATATGATTCTTTATATTAGCAGCATCAAATATGATTCTTTATATGATCAGCATCAAATATGATTCTTTATATGATCAGCATCAGATATGATTCTTTATGATCAGCATCAGATATGATTCTTTATATGATCAGCATCAGATATGATTCTTTACATGATCAGCATCAGATATGATTCTATATATTTGAAGCATCAAACATTAATGTTTTTGGTGCAAATATTAATACAAAGGTAGTTTTAAAAAAGATTGCATGGTCAGTATTGCTGCAGAGGATTGTAAAGTAGACCAAACATGAATTCTCCTCTTCTGCATCCACATTTCTTTCAGCTCAAATATTATCATAAAGCAACAATTTGAGGAATCTTGCTGAGCAAAATCATCAAACTGTCAACATATTTATACCTCAATATCTTAGTAACATCTGCTGTAATGCCACAAACGTTTGAAGGAAAATCTTATCACTCCCTTGAGTGCCGAGGTTTGTTACGACCACAGTAAAATAAGTCAAACACACTCAGTGACCAGCACACCTGCAGAATGTTGGCTAAGCGTTTGTTTTGCATTTCCACCAAGTGTGCTCCTGGTTGAAAGATGTCTGAATCTACAGGGTGGCTGAAAAGTGGCTATTACAGCTTTTAGATCTTTTATCTCTTTTTCATGCCTTAAGAATATTAGTCAGCGATTAGTCAACCAAATAGTCAGCGAGGACTATTTGGGACATTCGACCACATAAACATGGCAGAGTCTGTTCCTTAGCTGGTCGTGTAGCTGCACAAGCCCTCGAGCGTGAACTGGGAAATACTTTTGAAAACCAATCACATCCTAGCTCAGTAAAGTTGGTTTTGGGTTTGAAATTCGACAAACGTTCGCTCACGCAGTCTGCGAGTTACATCGACAGAACCAAAATGTATGTCTGTACATCAATGTTTACCATCCAACCTGATGGAATTTGAGAGGATCTGCAAGGAGAAATGACAGAGGATCCCCAAATCCATGTGTGAAAAACTGGTTGCATCTTTTCCAAAAAGACTCTCAGCTGTATTACATCAAAAGGAAGTCTCCTAAATACTGTGCAAAGGGTGTGAATACTTAGGACCACGTGATATTTCAGTTTTTCTTTTTACTAAATCAGCAAAAATGTCAACAATTTTGTGGTTTTCTGTCAATATGGGGTGCTGTGTGGAAATTGAGTAAGAGAAATGAACTTAAATAATTTTGGCAAATGGCTGCAACATAACAAAGAGTGAAAGATTTAAAGTATAAATACACACATGCACGCATTTTTTTGAAAATTTATTTCTTAGATATAAAATATTTTAATTATTCAACTTTTCTCACATTAGCCGCATTTCCACTGTCGGGCCAGTGCGAGCCAGGGCTTTTATCGGGCCGGGCCAATCACCTGGGAGGTTGAGCAGTGAGGCCAAAATCATGTCCCATTTCCACTTTCGGGCTTGTAGTTCACAGCGCATCACGCAAACCCCACCCTCAGAAAGTCCCCTGAACGTCCCCGCTTTGGCTCGATTAGGCCCCGGAAGTGACAGTGGAAACGCGACTGGCCTTGGCTCGCTCGCTTTAGGCGTTATAGTGGAAACGCGGCTATTGTCAGAGTTTATCCACTATTAAAAAATAGAAAATGATTTGGTGAATATCGGTGCATGCATTGTCTGTAAATACAACCTCAGCATAAGTGATGTGTTTTGCTTAAGGACACACAGTGGTTGTTGCAACACTTTTTTTTTTTTTTAGGGTTTGAACCTGCGACCTTTGGTTTAGTGAAACCACAGCGCCTCAAGGAAATCAGCAGGTCCAGTCACTTATATTGGCCTCTGGTCATGTATAATCCTCTTCTGGGTGTAATTCTGCTCAGTTTGTGAACCCACAAAGTGTTTTGAATGCAGTTGTTGCAGCTTCAGAGGAAGAAATAGTCAGCGTGTTCCCCGAAGTTCAGAGAGTTCATGGCATCTCGGTGAAAACACCAACATCAAACAATATTCATAATCAGCAGCAAATGCTGTGTTCATTCTGCGCTAATTATCAGATGCTCATGGCCACGTGTTCAGATAGATGCTGATTGTTTGACATATGGCTCGCAGTATTTCCACATTCCTCAGACAGGACGCTTCTGTGTTCAAATTGAACTTATTTGAAGATATAGGAATTGGAAATGACAAACTTTACTTTCATTGAGCAAACCGAAAAGTATAAATTTAATATAGTCAAGTTTCTGTCAATGGCATTTTTACATCATTTAATCAGGAATTATGTACATTTAAAGGCATAGTTCACCCAAAATGAACTCATCCTCCACTTGTTCCAGACTTGTTTGAGTTTCACACAATTCTGACATTGACTTCCATTGTGTTTTCAATAGTGTTTCTACTATTAATGTCTTTTTTTGGGTTCAACAGAAGACAGAAACTCATAAACGTTTGGAACCACTTAAACAACCGTGATCCGTTACACCCCACCTAATGGCAATCATGTTTATGACTGATTTTTGACAAGTTATGTTGTCTTGATAATGTCAAGGTGCATGACAAAGATGAATCCCGGTTGTGATGCATTTGTTTATGTCTAGCATGGCAAACTGTTATCTTTGCATTAAAAAGGACATAACTGAGCAAATGACACTTGATAACAGTTGTCATAAGCATGCATAAAATCACATTCATGTGTCATGTCATGATTATAAAAGGTTTGACGACAGTCTTATGAACACCCCTTCAAGTAAAGTCTAACCAAAGTGTTTAATGTGCTGCTTTTCGTTGTTAGCGTGAGAGCTTGTTTAGAGGGAGAACTAACTAACTAACTAACTATCTAACTAGTTTTGAGTTCAGGAGGTTCATCTTTGAAGGATATTCTCTTGCGCTGGATCATGTGTGGTTTGTTTGTTCGTTCCAGTTCATCAAAAATCAAACACAGTACACTCAGTTCTGTGTGATAACAGCAGCTAATATTTTAAGGATTACATTCAGCGCACTTTGAGGACACGTTGAATGAAGTGGCGTGGTGTTAGTATGGAATCTTTTCACATTGTTGGGTTTCTCCACAACGTCATAGTTGGTAAACTTAGAGCGCAGTTAATGGAAGAGTACAACAAATCTGTTTTTTATTTATTTTTTTGCATTCCTGTTTGCTCAAATAATAAAAGAAAAACTCGATGAGTTTCTCCAAACTCAACAAAAAAAAAAAAAAAGAAAAATTGTGTGAGATTGATAACGATAGCCAAAGGAGAGAGTAACACTGATAAATAGACGATTACTTATTTAAAATGAGCTGAAACAACAATTATTGGGAAAGTGTCTAATATGTGGATTAATATTACATCTTATTTTATTTACCAATATGAATTTGTGATTTTTGGGATGAAATATTATTGGGAAATATTTATTATTTATTTAATAATATGAATCTGTCCAAATATTATTGGACAATGTGTCTAATATCTGCTATAATATTACTTTTTAATGTATTTGCTGATATGAATCTGTGATTTTTAGGATGAAATATTTTTGGAAAACGTCTAATATCTTCATAAATAACATGTTTTTATTTATTTAGTAATATGAATCTGTGATTTTAGGATGAAATATTACTGGGAAATGTCTAATATCTGCTTAAATATTACTTTTTAATGTATTTGCTAATATGAATCTGTGATTTTTAGGATTAAATTTTATTGGAATATGTGTAATATCTGCATAAATAATATGTTTTTATTTATATAGTAATATGAATCTGTGATTTTTAAGATTAAATATTATTGGGAAAGGTTTAATATCTGCATAACTAATATAATTTTTTATTTAGTAATATGAATCTGTCATTTTTAGGACGAAATATTATTGGAAAATGTCTAATATCTGTTTAAATATTACATTTAATTTATTTGCTAATATGAATCTGTGATTTCAGGATAAATTTTTATTGAGCTGTTCAGATGTAGTGATGTGAAAAGCATGATGGTCTGTGTGTGATCAGAACAGATTCTCAGTTGTGTTTGTGCTCATGTTTTATCTCCTGCAGTCGGTGATGAAGACGGGTCGTCTGCTCATCAGTCACGAGGCTCCAGTGACCGGAGGTTTCGCAGCGGAGATCAGCTCTGCGGTTCAGGTAAGAATCACATGACAAATCAAGGCAAATCACGCTGGTGTCTGGATCCACAAGTATCGCTGTAACAGCCAAAAGGGAGAGGAAAAGTTACCTTAAAAACATGCCAGCAGTTCAAAAGTCCAAAGTAAGAGAGAGAGAGAAAGAGAGAGAAAGAGAGAGAGGGAGAGAGAGAGAGAGAGAGAGAGAGAGAGAGAGAGAGAGAGAGAGAGTGTGCTTCATTTTCTCCCTAGCAGTGAAATCGCTGCTCCTAGGTTCTGCTGTACACTCAGTGTCAGACTGTCCAGCAAACTCACAAGTAGTGAATTGTGCACAGTTGGCTGTTTTTAAGTAGTTGGAGCGTTTTAATTACTCACCCTCGCCTCATATGTAATAACCCGTTCATGATCTATTACTGAACCGATTCCAAATTGTCCAGCATTGAGGTGCATTGAAGAAACAATTAATTTTGACAGCCCTAGAGTCAATGGGTGCCGGCAACCTGCATTCATCAAAATATCTTCATTTGTATTCAACTGAAGAAAGAAACTTATAAAGGTTTTAAACCACATTAAACGATGATGGGAGAATCAGTTATGCACTCATTTTCATTTTTGGGTGAACCATCCCTTTAACAAATCTATTGAAGATATTTAAAGGATCACTTCTGTTTTTTATCCTTGTAGAAAACAATTTATACTTGTGGTATAGGTATAGTTTTTTTTAATCTAGATTAATCTCACTTTAATCTTGGAATTAATCTAGATTTAAATGGCTCGTTTGAATTTTGCAGAAAGCATTCAGAATATGTGTGCTACCCAACTAATAACTAAAAGTAAGTCTTGAGAATGGGTTTCTCAAGCCAGGTGGCGCATTACACAAGGGGCTCATCTCCTGTTTCTAAAATGCATCACAAACTGCTTGAGAAACTGTTCTACTGATCATTGATGATAAAAACAAATGATGTTCAATAAGATGTTCTTGTGTTTACTAACTGTTTATTCAGTTAAACATGAATGTTGAACTGTAGGCCTACATAAGCTCCAAACAGCTATTTATGATGATCTAAATCCAACTAAAGTCATAACTGAACTAAACAGAAATGGGATGAAGACATGTGGAGTATGCAGATATCAGTGGCATTATTGAAGTAAACACTGCAATCAAACTATTACCGACATGTAGGATTTTCCGCCATATTTTCCGACAAGGTCTATACACGCGGCTGTCAGTAAAGGATCACACACAAACACACACACGCACACACATCGCGAAATGCAGAAATTTTTTTTCTTTCCATTTGGCGTGCGTTGATAAATTCCAGAACACTCTCACTAGCCCTTAGTCCTTATTTGCGTCTAATAACCCCTGATTGTCACGAGTGCATAAATGAAATGTCCACGAGTTAAAGAGAAACTGCACCCAAAATTACTGGAAACTCTTACATAAAAGCACTTCACGTAAACACCATATTTATATTATTGTCTATTAAGGCAAATAACTAGATTACAGATGTCCATGCAAGTGTAGTCAGTAGTGTCTTCGAAGTAAGTGAAAGATCCAGAATGCATCCTGCTGATTTGGTTCAGAACTGCACTTTTTGTCAGACGGCTCACCGCTCAGGTATACATCTGCGCTAAAATATCAAGGTGAAAGTCCACATAGCTTGCGTAGAATAGACCTAGCTCTCAACCTAACTTTGAGAATAGATTAAAGGCAATATTTGTTTTTAGGGTCTCGCGTCAATAACATCAATAACAGCCCACCACTAATTTGTGGAAACTTTCACATCCGTGTATTTGTTAGATTTCTTCATAAAGAAAGTTTGAAAGAAACAGCATTTATTAGAAATATAAATCTTATGTGTGATTGTGGATGACATTATTGTTACTATTAAAGGTGCAGTATGCAAGTTTGACACCCAGTGGTTGAAATAGGTATTGCACTCCTGGATCAAAACAAACCCAAGTACAGGTTGCCAGATTGACGGTCAACAGGAGCGAGTCTGACAATCGAGACTAAAGGCTGATTTAATTTGTGTTCTATGTAAAAGCAACGGCACGTGATAGAAGGAATATTCTCCATATTAAAATGAGTTTTTGTTCTAACGCACTTTTCGAATTGATATGTTAGAAATGACGTCTGTTTCCTGCAGCTGAACAACAGAACACTGACAATGATCACCTCTTGTGCTTTATTCAGTGTTAAATGCTAATAATGTGAGTTTGAATGTCATTTTACATGACATTTATTGCAATATACTGAAAGCAGCAGCAGACAGTTCACCTCAGATCTGGACAATAAAATAAACCATCTAAAATTGAACTTCAGAACTGTGACTCCAACACATATCAGTGATTCAGCATCTACTTTAATAATGTTAAAGAGGTTTAATATGCATTAATTAGAAACCTTACCCTTTTGTTGGAGTGCAGTGAGTGCACTATTCTGTGCTACTGAATGGCTGTATTTATTGTGGTGTTTCGTCTGGTGCAAACGGCCCAATTGTTCATCACTGCGTATCTCGTCATTTAGACTGTTGTTAGGACATGCGGTTACAATGAAGCCTGCTCACCTAATGTTAACGTTCATAATATTTATATTATTTGCTAATTAATAACCTCATGTGGAACTCTGAATCTGCATCTCATTTCGGATGAGTCTGCTACTGTCCACCGGATATCCAATCTTGGTCACGGATGCACACTTTGTGAGCCTTCCTGACTGAATGAATGAAATATGCGGTTTTCGGCCACCCGGGGTGCTGAAATATAATTGGTTAAACTCACATTGGGTGGGTTAAAAGGGACCAACACAAAGACTGATGTTCTTGCATGTAACACTCAGTTTCAAAGCAGAATATCTGACTTCAGCATTGTTTTCAGATAAGCAAAAATGTTCACTTAGTATCTTTCTTAATTATCTGCAAACATTTTCTGGTATTTGTATACTAAAGAAGAGTCAAAAACTCACATGCAGCACCTTTAATACTGAATTAAAGTCTTCTTGTCTTTAAACGAGCAGTACCGGACATGCTGACCTCAAGCTTTTAAAGCGTAGTGTTTGCACAGTTTGTCTCAGGCCTGGTGCAGATGGTGGAAATTTTATCCAGAGCTTCATCCATGCATAGATGCAGAGCAGGGCTTTAAACATCAATCACCTTTTCATTGACGTCAGGATTATCGGAGCACCTGTGTGCCGCCGCGCCGGCAGGATTCAGCCGGATGCTCACAGATAATTGCATTCAACAGAAAAGTTGCTAAAAAAAAGCTTTCAGTGGTCAAGCTACTGACGTCTGTAGTAACTAATGATACACACACACACACACACACGCGAGTGCCATTACTGCACTGCTGAATGACTACATGTAGTGTTATTGGCTGGGATGCACAATTAAAGAAACCAAAAAGCCACTCCGGCTACATTCTTACATCCTTGTTTTTATTTACAATCTCATCACTGCTGATATGCGGCACTCATTTTCACGTGTTGTTATTCTGACCTGAAGTGACGAGCGAGTGCATGTTTTTTTTTCACTATTTACAATAAGATTTGCGCTTGCGCTCTCCTGGCGTCTCTCGTAACTAGGTGACCATCAAGCGTTTTCTCAGAAAATGACAAACAAACAAACCATTGCTGCAGCTCTGATGCAAATTGATGGAGAAGAGTAAAAAGCACTGCAGTGTTTGTGTGCACCGTGTTTGTCTGAGGTAATTAGTCCGCCGTTATTACTGAAATGTGTATATTCAATACAAAGTGTGAAGCAGATTGGTTACTTCTACTTGCATAAATCACACTGCGCTCGCAGCATTTAGAAAAGTTCAGGGTTCTTATGTATCAACGCTGCGTAGGCACAAAAACTTTGCGTACGCCAGGTTTCACGCTCAGGTTTGGATTTACTAACCGTACGTTCACACCGGAAGCAGCGAGAGCGTCCAAGGTTGCTCTGGCCGCCCTGGTGACAACGGTGTCTGCCTTCAGCTCCGGTGGCGAGAGCGTCAAAACTCGCTACATTGATCTTGTACTTAAAGGAGCCGTTGCAGCATATTAGTTACATTCCTGCATAAAACAAGTTTTTAGCGTAAAAATGTTGCGCGCTTCTTATCAAATTCATACAACAATGGAAGATCAAGTTGCGTGTGATGTGGCTTTGCTCTATTTATCCAATATGTGTCCATATGTCTGAAATATCCTGAAGCAGCAGTACTGTTTTGTACTGTCACATCGCGTGAGATTCCCGCTTTTTAAAGATAAATTTATATAACATTAATGCACATCAGTAACTCGCCAGTAACTTATTTAATGCATGTTCCTGTAGGAAAACATTGTAAATAATTGGAAATCCGGCGACCTCAATAATCAAACCCTTGGGAACAACTGTGGTCGGAACCAAAGTTCACAGGTCTGTGTTCCCTGAACTGCTATCAAGCGGTGGACGTCTTCATTCTGATTGCTTGCCACCGAACCGCTACATAGCTCATTACCATAAAGTTAACTTTATTTCAACTCTCCTCGACGCTCACGCCGGCGAAGACGCGCCGCGCTGCTCCTCGCCGCTTATCGTCGCCTAACGCCGCCGGCTCTCATTGAAAATGAATGACTTCCGGCTATTTTGACGCTCTCGCCGCTTTCGGTGTGAACGTACGGTAACAGTGAAATGAACGTGGGAATGTGCGCAGGTCCACGCCAGCTTCATGCCTAGCGTATGCACTTTTCTTGTGTGTGTCTGTTTTATTTCCATTGGCGACTCCTAGAGGCAGTTGTGTTAAATTGCACACTACAAAGTGTCTTTAAACCATGCATTGGCAGCTGTATGAGACGGGTTCATCCGCATGTCTAAGGCTTCCATACCATACAGTTGACCAGCCAAACATTAAAGCACAATTTAGAGGGGTCACCGTTTTTCCCAATGTAATCGGAGCGATTTACTGCACACACATTGCTATAAAGACACCATCTGAAGGTGAATTTTCATAAGTGAATTAGAAACATTTCCATTCAATAAATGTGCAAATAAAATATGA